GCGCTGACGTCGGTTAGTAGTGACTGCGAAGTTAGTAATTTTGGAATTTTTGACAAAAAGAAACATAAAAAAATGGAGAAATATTTTATTGTGCGTGGATGTGCAAGTGGTTTAGCATCTGATCGGAAAAATAGACTGAAGATGACTTTTATTGACCAAACCTAGCGATCGCAGCGCCTCACTTATGGTGTCCATATTTCTAGGACACTATTTTCTACGGCGATCGTTCTGCTATATTCTAACCTCCATGGTACTAACGTAGGCAACTGTCACTGTCAAACTTTTCTTTTTTATTATTAACTGGCTTTACGGCTCTGGTTCCTAGACGTTCTGAGCCTATCCTTTCTTTTGGAATCTTCATTTTATGTTCCTTTTCTTCACAATATGCTGATGCGTCACATTGCGAAGAACTTGGGAGATTTTTGACGACAGCTCAACCTAGCGGACAGTTGATGACGACAGCCACTCAAATTCATAAGGCGCCCAAGCGATCAAAAGAACTTGAGGTTTATATCGACATCAAAGCACTTGTTTCGTCGTTTTCTCTAATAGTTCACACGCGCGGACACTTAATTCACAAAATCGCATCACTTTTACGAATCAAAATCCACTTCAAACTATTATTCAAGCGACAAAACAGGAGCGACAATCCGTCTACGGCCAAGTTCCCGCCAAAACTCCTCGAACTTTTTTTTAAACGTAGATATGGAGTATGAAGTGTAGAAGTAAGGAGTACCAACTCCCATAGGAGAAAAAAGTGTCCATCTTTAAGCAGTAAATAACAGTTCAAAAACTCTTCACTACTGCGCTCGAGTAGCTACGGGGTATGTTAAATCGCCGTAAAATACGTTGTGATTTTGAAAGCAATAAAATAGTTATTGTAAAAAGGATTATGGTGTCTGTGCAATAAAAATATAAAAAGTTCTTTAAAATTTAGACTGTAGCTACAGTGGCGCCACCCTTATTTAGCGCTTTCCTACGGTCACTTTTTTATACTGTCTGTACTCCTTACCTCTACACTCCATAAACGTCTTTCTAGGGATAATCGATGTTGCAGAAACATCGAAGTTAGCATCGATGTTTATCCTACTCAAAACATCGATGTTAAACATTATCGATGTTTTTGCAGATGTATTTAATAGGTTAGAATTAGATGAATTATAAATAGACATGTTGTTTGCGGTATATTATAGATGAAATAAAAGAAATTAATAAACAATGTACTCAGTTTAAAACTGTCAATAAAAAAAAGAACTTAAAAAACATCTACTTCATTTAAAGTTCAGTTCAATAATTTTTGCTATTGATTGAAGAGATAGTAATTTTGACAAAGAAGTACCTTCTTTCTGTTTATAAAGTGTTGAGCCAGCTTTTGAAAATAACCTTGCAATAATCGATTATGGGTTTATTGACTTCGATGTTTGACATGTGGCAACATCGATAATTTTCGAAATCATATCATCGAACATCCCTATACATCATAGATAAGTGTATCTATACATTCCTTTGATGTCTTATAAAGAGTAATTTGTATATTGAAATTTAGTTTTACTGCGAATAACAAACTTTTAAAGCAAAAATTCTTTAGACATCTTTTCAAAATGGTATGTGTCCCATGTTTCATTATTCCAGTTTTATTGTTCTTGTGGCACAAATTTATACAGCCTTACGTTCTACGTTTTTGGAATCCTTGGGCTATTAAAGATGCAGACGGTAATGTGAAGACAGAATTTCCATTTACTTGTGAAGGTGGCGTTTGTTCCTATCGACGAAAACAGATTCAAGACAAGTCTGAAGACAAGCTCGCGGAAACAGAACAAAATGAAAATAATAGTGAACAATGCCAACGTGTTAGACAAAAGAGTGATTAATTATACGATAATCAAAGGGATTAACATAGGACAATTATTTTTATGCATATGTATAGACAAAAGTTAACAAATCATTAGGAACAATAAATTAAGGGCATATTCAAGATTCTAATGTCAAGTATTATTATTACTATTCCAAATATGCATTTTATTTTAATTTTAAATATATGTTGTTAAATAAATGTTTTTTCATTACCATGGAAATTATGAATTTATAATATTACAACCAAATGACCGGCTTGCTAATAATAGTTTAAGAAACCCTGTTACTTTGCACTTAGTGTTTATACAATAATAGGACATATACTTAGACATGCAAAGGCTTGGAGATTACCCAAGTCATAAAAATAATAAAATAAAAGTAATTTTCATAAGTAACTATTGTTTCTTACATGTTAGAAAAAGACAGGACTGAATTGTTAAGGTAGGTACAGTCGGACCACCACCCCTCCAGACAGGTTCTCACCTTATCGTGGGGGGGTTAGTAGCTGTGGCTTGGTCACCCGCAGTGAACAAAGAAGAACCCACATGGCTGGCCCGAAGGGCCACTCCCGAGTGGATTTGTGCTGGTGGGCTGCGGCGAAAGGGAAGTCCCCTCCCCCTACCGCCGAGGTGGAGGAAGAGGTATGTTGGTATGGCGGTGCGCCACTCGCCCTATCCTCCGCGACTCAAACGGGGCCGCACTGTTGATGCGGTGGTGGTGGGGGAGAGGAGTGTCGGTATTGCGAGGCGCCGCTCTCACTACCCTCCCCAGCCGAAGCTTGGTTAGCAAAGGAGCCATAGACCAGATCCGCCGCTGGGGTCAGAAAGGCTAGTGCTTCTGAGTGCTCGTTTTCCCTGGCCCCATGGCCTTCGCGCATCAGACACAGGGGCGTCCTTTGCGCAGGTGCAGTTGCGGGTCGTGGAGGAAGGCGCGCCATGTGTTCTGGTGCGCCTTACCTGAGAAGGAGAAGGAGGAGGAGTAGTCCTCTTCCGAGGAGGCGCCGCCATGAGGCGGCCGACGCTGGTGGTGTCGCGGATGTGTGCGAAAGCATTCCCGTGGCCCTACCAATATGCGACGAGGTGGAACACCATGGGGTTTTAGTTGGTGCAAGTCCAACATAACCTGTCCTTGCCCAATCGAGGCGGGTATGCATAGGCAATTCCTCATGTTAAAAAAAAGGGTAGGGCCACCAAACAAAAATGTAGAATAATTGATAAATGTAAGAAAGAAATTGAAACAGTACATAACAATTTTTACAGGATACATTTTTGAGATTGTGTGCAGAAATTTCATGACTTATTTCCTCCCTCTCCATTTAACCATTGGACCACCAGACGCTTGGTTGGTTTCCACTCCTTTCTTATCACCATACTACAAATTAAAACAAGACTGTTTGCTTCGTCGTTTAATATATATACTAAAAAGGAGTGAAATAATCTACCAGCATGTCCTTTCATCAGATTATATGACAAGTGTGAATAGGCTTTTGTTAACATAAGTTAGTGCTCTTTACCATCTTCAGCTGCATCACCACTTACCATCAGGTGGGAAAGTAGTCCAGCACAGGCTCATAATATTAAAAAAGGCAGCAGCATCTTTCTGATAACACAAAGCAATAAACAACAGTTGATAATTTAAAAAAATTGGCCTGCCAAGCTGTTATTTTTTGTGAATAGGAGGCAGATATAGAAACTGGCAGACGCTTATGTTCAACAGTGAACTTTTGATAAACTGTAATCAATGAATGAGGGCAATAGTGAAATGCTCTTTATATTAAGTAGGGAATTTCACAATTTAGTATAAATTGGCTATTTGGCTTAAATCAATTTTCTATTTATAATTGTGGCTTTTGTCCTAATATGTAAAAATATGAATAAAACCTAAGCAAACTTTAATTTTCACAAGAGCAAAATAGCTGATCTTTGTTACTCATTTACCAAGTGCACTCTCAGCACCTTAGGAATTGCTCTTGAATTACTTAAATGCTCAGCTTCAAAAAAATATATTAATATCAAAGAATTTAAACATTAAAAATTAAGTTAACTAGGATGAAAAGAAAGTAGGTATATGGATTACAATTGTTTTTAAAGAAATATTTTTTTTAGAGCAGACCAATGTTGCTTATCATGTTTTTATCCTTTATAAGTTCACTGCAGCAAGTAGGCTTTTTTTAAACTGTAGCAATTAAAGGCATGCAAACTTCGCCCATACCATACTTCTGTGTATGAATTTTAGGCAAGTTGGTGATTACAGATGTAATTAATACAACTTGCCATCTCTTTCCCCTGAGACTTTATTTGCCAAATGGATATACCGGTGCTTGTTGAGGAAATATAAACCTTCAAAATAATGCTAGCCTGCTTGTGAATTCTGAACTAAAAGTTGTACCCAACAAAAGACAGTCTAAGTGAATCTAAAAATTATTTAATGTTAATTCTGTTATAAAACTTAGTATTTACACAAATAAAATTTTAATTCTTATGTTCATTATCAATAACAATTGTTTGTTTTATATTGATATCAATAAATTTTGATGTGTTGGTAAACTTTTAAGAGTCCTATTATATCATAGAGGAATACAAAACAAAAAGTTTATAAAAATAACGTAATTTAATTGTATGAACCCTGCATAGCGTTTTTCAATTAAAATTAACACTGGTATGTATATTATATTATAGTTTATCTCACAAAAACTAAGGTGCCTTATTTACGGTCCATCTTGCTGTATGTCCTATGTGAATAAAACGCTTTAGCATAAGTAAGCAAATGAAATATTTAGCAAAAATGAAATTTAACATTGAAATAAACTATTGTCCTTTTACTATCTTCGTAAGTAGATCTTATTATAACTACACATTATGTTGCCTAGTAATAATGCTGAGACTTAATTTAACTTGATGCTTAAAATCTATTATCTTATGTGCTAAATAACTAATATGCAGCATCTGCATGCAATGTAGCAGCACAAGTTTTAAAAAAAATGTCCTAATAATATTGATGAGATATATACTTGCAGATACCCCATATTGGCACATTAGTAGACACAATGTAATCATTCTCCTAATGAAATACACGCATAACATTCAATCCAATCATAAAACTTTAACCTAGATCGCTGCATATAACCTACACAATCAACAACAACCTTATTTTACGTTCTTCAACTCCACTTCAAAAACTAGGGTGGAGTTGGGTGGAATAACTGGTGGCGAACCCTTAGCTCCATACCTGCAAAAAAGCGAATGTTGAAATAGGGAGTTGGAATTAAATTTAACAAAATGTTCTTTATGGCATATTTAATACTATAAATATAACTCATCATCATATTATAGCGACAAGACTAATTAGTCACTGTTTTGGAAGCTTAATAATTTATTTCTTATTATAGTTGAGGGTACATGCATACAGTGCACCTGATGGTAAGTGGATGCTGTAGTTGTGAAATACTTTAATCTATAATCTTTAACAAGAAATCAAAATACAGATGCATTTAGGGTTGCCACCTATACTATAATATGTAGTATTGTACCATATTTCAGTCAATTGTACTATATGATTAAAAAAAATAATATAGTACGAAAATACTTTATTTTATCCCTTATTCAACTGCCGCGCTTTTTTATATTAACTGTGTTTGGAAGTCTGGAACAAGAAAGTTTTATGGAAAGAAATGTTTCAATCATGAATAAATGTGTATTTTTTTTGCTCCTGAATTTCTCAAAAGTATTACACATTTGCATCTTTTATGGGAATAACAGTATATTTGTTCAAAAAAAGGTGACTACCCTAGATGCATTATTATTACTACTGTTTAGAACTAGGTCAGAATGCTGTGCTACCAATAAAAAGGATCTCTATTTCTTTTACAAAACATGGCAATATTTTACTGCCATTTTTATTTTACACTAATATTCTTTGAGAAAATGTGGTACTTCCACAGTTTTGCTAATCCATTCATAATATACCTGTATTAGAGCTGCAAGGTGGTTCCACCATTTATAATTCCTAACATATTCATCATATTTCTATAGAAGTATAATGTTATAATAGTCATCTAATTAAAATGTAAGAAGTAATATAGAACTATATATTTAGGAAATTTTTTATGTAACTAATAAAATATGAAAATAGTGGATGTAATTCACTAACAATTTACTTCAATATAAAATAATAGCCTTAATTTATCAGTTTCAGCAAACTTACGCCATCGCAGGTGGACAAACAATCTTCCTCTTGCCCCCAACCTTCATGCCAGCCACACCAACATCCCATCCACTGATGACCTCCTTTGAACCTAATCTGAACTTGAATCCAGGGCCTTTCACACAGTTATCAAACATCTTGTTATTTTGTTTTAGGCGACCTTCATAGTAAACCTAATGGAATAATAAAATTTTATAGAAAAATTTAATACCTAAGCAAAGTTTTTTAAATTTAAATACAAATTAAATTTTGTCCCATTTTTTTTAATTGGTTCATGGGCTTGTAAAAATAAATTTGTACAGTTCTTAATCAATGTCGATGGCACACATTCATAGCAAATTAAATCGTAAATTAATTCATAGCAATAGTAAAATAATAAAGTTAATAACTATAAAATGACAGCATCACGGATTCCCTGACCATAGATTAATTCTAGAAAAAGAAGGATTTCCATCTCAAATCAGTTCTGCAAAATTCCAAATTGAAAAATCGCTAAAAAATAAATAGTCGCTAAACGATAAAAAATGTCGCTAAGAGCTCTGAATAATCACCATATCTGGTGACAAAATCACCAAGGTGGCAACACTGGATGCGGTTTGCGCGAGTGTGTGGTCAGCAACTCACGCCAAAAAACCCGACAAAACAGGGAGCAATGGGCATGACAAATACAGTGACAAGTACACTATGTCTCGGCCTCCTTTCCTGGCTACTTCTCATGTCACTCGACAAGTATGTGGCCGGGGGGTAAAATAATTTAATTACAAAAGATAAGTATAGGTATGTAAGTAAGTACTTGGATAGTGAAGTAAATTTTAACTAAGCGTTGCAGTAATAAAGTACATAGGTATTACTTCTGTAGTTAAATTACTACTTAATTCTAATTACTTATTATATTTTATCAAATAGTTAATATACATATATATAATTTTTAATTACATTAAAACTTTTTCAACTATTTCAACCTACAATTAAATATACTAAACAAATACACAAAACAAAAACTATTTCAATAAGTGTTTACAAAAAACTATTTAAGTAAACGGTGTAAAAAATCTTTAACATTCAATCGCCTAGACTGCGCTAGCCCTAACTGTGTTTGTAGTCTGGGGCACCTTGCAATTGTAAGTAATTATTTCACGCAGGTAGCAAGAGTGGCAGAGGCCTGCCTGTAACAGGTTTTGCCAATAACATTTATATTGATTTATGGTACAATTATATAATACATTAATATCTAGTTAACACTTACCATGACAACTTTGCCAGGCTTTGCGACAGGTCCACTGCCCACTTTTAAGTCCTCAATAAAAACTCCACCACTCAGAGATTTCTTTTCTTTTTTATCAGCACCTTTCTCCTCTTGCCCCTCTTTCTTAGCTTCTGGCTTCTTTTTTTCCCCCTTTTGTTTCTCTTCTTGTTTATCCTTCTGCCAATAATTTTACGTATATGAAATGTTTTCAAAAGATTATGCAGCATCGATTAAGACATTATTTTTCTAGCTTTGTAGCTGGCAAGCTTATACTAACTTTGAATAATAAAAAAATGATCAAGATGTTTACATAAAATTTCATAGCATGCATAAACAAGAGTTCGATTCATTTAAGAGAGAAGTTCGATTCTCAGTGGCACTAATAAAACTTAGTTACAATCTGAAGTGCTGATTTCAAGTTCATTTGAAGTTAGGAAATGTTTTGGAGCAGTGCCTTGACTTTTCCTATACGTCCCTCTCATAAATAAGAAACCTGTGCCCAACAGTGAACAAATGTGCTATAAGCTTACATTTTGATATCAATATTTCATCATGTACCTTTGGCTTATCTACTCCATTCACTTGTGGTTGTTCTTTGCCTTGCTGTTGTAATCTTTTCTTAAGCCGTCGTTTCTGTGACTTGCTTAATTTAGACATATCAACTTTAGTCTCTTCCTTGCTGGTGTCGAGGGTGGTGTAAGAATCCCCAGAAATGTTTGCCTTCTCATTATCCTCCTCTTCATCATCTTCCTCTTCTTCATCGTCCTCTTCTTCATCACTAAGTTCAAGCAAGTAAATTATTATTACAGTAAGATTTGACCAAGATTTATTTAGAATTAGGTGATGTATTAATTAGCTATAATGGGAGGCGCCCTTCAAACTCGGTAGACACACCATTTTATTTTTCATATGGATTTTAACTCAAATTTTCGAATCTTATATATTGATAGTCAAATAACATCTTAACATCAGTTTATGTTTAGTTGTTCTAAGTAAGAGTTATATTAAAAGAATTGGCAATAGTGTTAGTAATTTCTACTTAAAGTTATTAGCAACCTGCCTAGAAACTTTAACTTTAACTTGCCATAATTTGCACTATAATATGTGCAATATAACTTTAGACAAAATAAAAGATTTATAAATCTTGAGGACCCAAAGACACCACTGAGACTGATAATTGATGCTATTAATGCTAACTATTCGTTTGGTTTTAAAAAGATAAATAACACAAGGTTTGGTTTACCACTTTTAAATAAAAGCCTAATTATTTCAGTAGGTGCGACTATATAACATTGAATATTTAAAATACCTACATTATGTTAGTCTTATCAAAAATCAGGTTAAGTTTTTTATTAGTTTTAGTTTTTTTATTTATTTAAAAATTTATACATTTTATAATTTTGTTTTGAAGTACTGTATTTTGTCTACTTCCTACTATTTATCTTGTAGCATAAGTCACCTGCTTGGAATAATGATCTGATCGCAAAATATTATGAAGAAAATAAAAACATAATATGTTAATGGAAATCGAAAAGCAATACAGCTTGCAGCTATGTCAGTACATAGTACAAGCTGATTGGCAATCATTAATTAGCAATCATTGGTGTTTTGCAACATCAATGAATGGAGTAACATTAAATGCATTCTGAACTGACATTACAGTAGGAAAAGGCACTTAAACCTTAAACATACCTTTCGTCGGCTTCACCTGATGTATTTACTTTGAAAGAATCATCATTCTCATCACTGTCCATATCCTCTCCATCTAAAAATTTCTGTAATTCATCTCCTTCATCATCAGAGTCTGAACTGTCAGCGGCAGCAGCTCCTTTCTTCCCTGCTTTTTTGTCTTGCTATTTAATAGAAAAAGAAATATAAACATAAATTAAGCATTCAAAAATAGATTTAATTTTATACACTAAGATGCTTACTTTAGCTTTCTTGTTGGTAGTAGACTCTGTGCTGTTGTCTAGTTTACGTTTATTTTTTACTGGAACAAGTGTTGGTGCTTCTTCCTCCTCCTCCTCTTCTTCAGCCTCTTCTTCATCATCAGATGGCTCCTCTTCAAACTCAGGATCTAAATATCCAGTAAGGTGGACATTACATTTACCTTTAAAAAAAAAGGATTTTAATTCTTACATGTGTAAATATGAAAAAAATGCATAGTAGTCTCATCCCCTGTGAAAACATATTACATATTAAAATTCAAGAACATTCATATTTTCTAGGGATGGGCTGAATATTCCATTTAGTATTCGGCATCTTTGCCGAATATTCGGTTAATTAATCGAATATTCGTTAAAGTGCTACTCAAGGTGTCCACTGTATTGAAATGGACGAATTGAATAATGCCATGTCTTTCATAATTTTACTGTTGAAAGTATATTTTATTTATGGGTTAAATCTACTTGTATAGAGTTATGTTTTTAGGCACTGTCGATTTATTTCCAATTATAGCATATATAAAGCTTGATAAAATGTTTAGGAATCAAACAAAGAAACATTACACTACATCAGTACATTTCACTTTACTTTGGTCATCAGTCTCTCTAATAGTCAAAACATAAGCACATGTCGCTATTTGCACAGTACTAGTTGATGCAATAACATGTCAGGTCGAAAAGCTCGGGAAGCGAAGAGCAGGGTCCGGCGCTAATCCCACGCGCTTTGTGGTAACAAGTTTTGACATAAATTGCTTAGGTACCTACTGAGATGATCCTGCCGAATAATGTTCGGCCGAATATTCGGTTCGGTACAATTTTTACCGAACGTTGGGCCGAATATTCGTATTCGGTAAAATCCATATTCGGCCCATCTCTAATATTTTCTGCAATTACCATTAGGTACGAGTGTTGTTTGTTGTGGGTAGTGTAGTGGACTTACAAGGGATGTAATTAATGAAACGAAGATGAGTGTTGCATTTGCCTCATATTGATTTTTTAAAATCAATCATTGTTGATATCAGAGCAAACTGTTTAATTATATAGCTAGCATTTAATGTTTGTTTTAATTAAATTGGTTAATATTAAAAAGATAAGTCAGTTTTAAAGTGTCTTGAGTGCACATGACATGACATGACACACCTAAAAGTTGAAAGAAAAGCCCTGCTAGGCTGCTTTATTGACATTCAATTACTAAACAATTTGACATTTGTGATAGACAACATTTTTTGAATATTCCAGATCAAATGATAGACATGACCTACGACCAAAAGTATAGTAATGTCTGATGACCAACATTACCGAGTGCATCTCACAGATCATAGAGCACTGAAACTCAAAATAATTCATTAGAATGATCGACTCATATTACCCAGTTCGTAAGATGAATCAATATTTGAATGATCAGGGCACTAGAAATTAATGAATGACACATGTCTAATTTATAAAATAGTATAGTATAGTATATTTTCATATACCAGCACCATCTTTTGTAAATATTAGCCGGTTTAAAATGAACCAACATCCACCTCATCTATACAGAAAAATATAGTATAGATAATAATAATATATTTTAAGAATTATTATATTTATATGTATATTTCTTTCTATATAAATTCAGTATAATAACTTCTCAGTTATTATACTGAATTTATAATTTGTTTATTTTAAGTGATTTGTTCTATATGTTATTTAATATTAATAAATAATTTATTTTAATTTATTACCCAATTTTGTCCCATAGATGGAAATAAAATTCCTTCTGATAAATTTGAATATAACAATCTCTTTACACCAGGCATGAAATACCCAGATAAGCGAATTGCAGGAGCAACAATTGTGCCAGAAATCTGTCACTGTGATTAGGATATGCCCATATCCAGCTGTGGATTTTCAGTAGACATGGTAACACTGCAGCCACACAATTGCACTAACCCTGTTTCAATGCGCCGATATGTTAATTCACTTCTACAAAATGTGTTGGCACACAGTGCAGGACTAGGACATTTGAAATGTGTTCGGATCTTATTTTACATTATTTTTATAAACTCTTTGAAATTTAAAAGGATCCTATTTAAGAATTTTCTTGTACCAGGGTGTCATAATCGCTTCAGCGACAAAGCCCTTTTTTTAAATAAAAAAAATTTAAAAGTAGTGATATATAGTACCTTATATGTAGGTAGTCTTTCTTTAGCACATTTTATTTTACTTACTGGTCACACAGTTTTATTTTGACAAATGGCCGAGTTGACAGATGTGTTAAAAATTTGTTGTTCCATGGTGCAACTTTGAGTTAACGCAATGAGCCTGCACAATAAACTGTGCCTGAGTTACTGAGTTAACGCAAGGAATTTCATTGAGTGACCGACCCATGTCTAACTTTTAGTCTGATGATGACTATACTTTAATACACAACAGAGTTTCATTTGTTTATATTAGTAGGATTTGTAGATGATACATGATTTAGGATTTGGGTGAATGAAATTGCAAGCACAAGAAGTTATGAAATTTTTTTACCATTAGTCAAGAATGAAATAGAGTCTCCAGATTTAAAATAAAGATCTAATGGCACTTGGATGGATTTATTTTTCTGCAGCGTGCAAACAAGGAAGTTTTTGCCATCAACCACAACCATTACTTGACATGGATCATTGTCTCCAGTTGATATGTCCATGGCTGCTTGTGATATATGAAAAGGCTTTTCCACCACTTGAGTGTAGCGCTTGTTTGGTTCCATAATTAGTCCTGAAACAAACATATTCTTTACAACACTTATACATCATGCAATAAAAATCCAAACGAGGCATATGGTATATTGATACAGAATATATTATTCTTCTCTAAAAAAAGATTTCAATCATAAAGGATATAAAAAGTTTAATGTCAAATCAAATTCACATAATTAAATATATTATGAAAATTTTGATTATAATACATGTTTTAAAATAAACAAACTCAATACCCTAAAACACATATAATACTAATAATTTATTTCAACCACAAAAATATGGTCTGCATATAGTTGAATGTAAGGGTATTTCAGAAATAGTTTAAAGAATCAATGCTTCAGTGAAACACACAGGGTCACCCCCATCACTACATCAAATTTGATACTACAAATCCTCGCTGAAGAACACCGATTCCATCCAAGGATGATTTGTGAGGCTACTGAAATCAAAAACATCCTAATTTCAATACAGAAGATAGCTGTGTGGTACCATGAGCCCAGCTATCTTCCAGGGATCTATAATTAATAAGATTAAATCCCAATCCAAGAATACAACTGCAAGACTTCAAGGTACCATAAGTTCAACTGCATAGATCAGAACAAAAATTTTGTAAATTCTCCAAGTAAAACTTTAATAACCAAAACAGACGAAAAACCATCGTAGAAGAAATGTATATAGGTACTGTATTAATTTTGCAGGTTTTATAGTATAATTTTAATAGCATATGGTGGTTATCTCAACTCCACAGAGTCAGTATTTCATTCTTATGTATACACTACAACAACAAGTCTCAGAATATATACAAGGCCTCTCTGTTACAATATTTAATTAAACTAAACTCTATAAAAAGGGTTATTACAATATAAATGAATACATGGTTGATAACCCCTGGAAATGAGGTGGTCGCTTCCAAGCTGTTTCCAATATAAATTTTATTAATATTTTGTAACCATTCACATTGTAAAATTGATTTAAAAAAAGTCACGCTGGGTTTCTTGCTGGTTCTTTCCAGGACAGGTTTTTTTCGAACCAGTGGTAAAGTAAAAAAATGACTTACAGTAAAAATTACATGTAAGCTATACTGAATAAAAAAATTATTCCATTCTATTCTATCAGTAACATTACCTCCTCCAATGTAATAAAAACAATAAATCTTTTGACATAAGGACTCATGGTGCATGTTTTGCCTCCTACGGCGGTCTTGGCACAAATAACATTTTAAATATTGAATATTTACAATTTTGTCAATGCAAACCTAATCGTCAGCCATTTACATACACACTGACCATGAGTTTCAATAGAAAATCGTTACAGAAATAATAAAATTAAGAGACGGAGTAAAGCACGTGGTTACAAAGTGCAGTCACTAAATTAATAACTTACCCCAAAACATTTTGTAGATTATTTGCACACAATTTAATAAAATAATATCAAAATACTTAATTGGTCAATTTCAATTATACAAATCGTGAATTTAACCAAATTTACGCTATTCGAGTCGGCAAGGAATTAAGACAGCAACGACAAGAACGCGGCAAATTCACTTCTCTTCTCTTCAGTGACGTCGTAATTGATTTTATTAATAATCGAGTAATCGATTTTCTACAAATCGACTAGAATTTCGATTCATGATCGTATATTCTATCGATTTTTATTTAAAAAAAAACTTATAATAAAAAGTTCAAGCTATTAGGTAGGTGCAGCACCCATCTAATAAAACTAGCACTTAAGGTTCTAGTATTTGTAAAAATTAAAGACCAAGTTTCGGAATGTAATATTGTCCTTTTTTATTCTGTGAATAAATGGCCTAGTTTAGTTTTCATTAAAGTTACTCATTTTAATCTTTTAGATGGACTAAGAAATATCACAGTCTTAAAGTCGTTCGAAATCCAAATAGCTTCATCCCTATTTAGTTTAACTTAGTGGTGGAAATATGTCTTTACATTTTGTAAAATAGGTTTTACTTCAGGAGGAGCAACTCCTGGAGTAAAACCTATTTTACAAAAAAGGATCACAAAATTGGTTTACAATTGGAGAAGATATTACGTAACAAAAACAAACAGTGATTTGTAAAATTTCTCACTAATTTGAATTCAACTTAAAAAAAATATTCTATAATATATTAGGCCCCCTTTAATTTAAAAACTTAGATGCAAAAAATGTTTAATTTTTTACAAAAATGTTACTAATATTTTTTTTGTTTCAAAAACAGGTTGTAAAATAATGGATAGTTCTTTTTAGGCAAAATCTACTAATTGATTATCAAAATAATTGAATCGACACATTACGACATATTATAAATCTCTTCGCTGTGTCTTTGCTCTTTAGTTTAGAGAGAAGGAGAACGATCGCTGTAGCTGAGATAGAACGAGGCACTGCGATCGCTGAGTTGTCTCAATAAAAGTCATTTTCAGTCTATTTTTTCGATCAGATGCTAAACAACACAACATTTCACCATATTTTAATGTTTCTTTTTGTCAAAAATCAAAAAATTACGGGGCACGATTATTTTCTCACCAATGTTGGCAACTTTGTGGAGCGAGCGCCATCTGTTTTGGGCGGACGGAACTGCAGGCGCCGCCTAGTTAGCCGTGACGTCGGCATCGGGCCACGACGACTGCACGTGGTGGGGATGAGACGGGCTGGCGGACGGTTCGCTCAGTACACCCGGGGCACTTACTTGCGGACCGTGCGACGGAGCAGTCATCTCTAGCTCCATTATTTGGAAATAAATTATTAATTATTTATTTTGTTAAATCAGTGGCTGATTATTATTATATATTTTGTTAAAAGGTTTGGTTTTAATATAAATGTGTGCTGAGAATCAACCTAATAGTTTAACTTATTGCTCCAAAGTCGTTACAGTGTTTAACCTTTAAAGTACCCACAACTACACATTAAGATATTGATAACTGAGTAATAATATTATTACGTTGATAACATCAGAAGTGGGATCTACGCGTCATGGGCAAACGCAGGTACTATCGCAGGCGAGCACAATCGTCAAGTAGCAGTAGTACAACGAGTACAAGCTCCAGAACGCCGTCACCTCCGCCCAGAAGGAAGTCAAAGGTATCGCGTCATAAAGATACCAAAGCTGTGAGTACCTTAAACAATATTATACCGGAGTTTGACCCTTTAAATGATGATATAAATGCATGGCTTAATATTATACAATCCTATGCGGCAACGTTCGATTGTACCGACGAAACGATACGTTATCAAGCTCTTAATAAGTTGAAAGGCTCTGGTAAAGTCTGGTATGACTCGTTGTTGCGCACTGATAGTCAGTGGCCTACATGGAACTGGAGTGATTGGAATCGGCGTCTGGCTAGTAGTTTCCAAACACGACGTAACATGTTTGAATTATTAAAAAGAAATAATAAATAAAAAAACCTGTAGAAAACCAATCACTATACGAATTTTATTTTGATATTAAATGTAAAGTCGATAGATTATCTTTAAACTTTACTGAGCAAGATATTATATCCATAATTGTCGGTAGCATAGGCGACAGTAATATAGGAGCATCTATTGAGGCGAGTAATTTTAAATCTTGCCATGATTTAGCTAGTTACCTTCATGGCCGTACCTACAAAGGCAGAAACTCAAAACAAACCAGTTCGGGTAGTACACGTGAAAACCAACACAAAACAATGGATCAAACGAACAATTCTAGCCTGCCGTCCATGAATGTTACCTCTTCAAATATTAATGCCAATTCCCATAATGCATATGGAAGTAACCAAACCGGCTCAGCAAATATTCAGAAACCTATTAAATGTTACACTTGCGGTGGAAACCATAAAAGAAACCAGTGTGAGCTCATTAAATGTAATTTTTGTAAAAAAAAGGGCCATGTTGAGGCTGTATGCCGTAGTAAGAAGAGTACAGGATTGATCAAACCAGAAACTGAGGAGACCAAATTGATTCACACCTCTGATACGCGAAATAAATTTGTAAAAACAGTTAACATTGATAATTTTGTTCATGAGGCATTCATTGATACAGGAAGCAGTTGTTCCTTAATTTCCGAAGTGGTGGTGGAAAAATATTCGCTTCAAACAAGTGTTCTACCCTCGCCAGTTTTGTTACAAGGGTTTTCTAAGCATAATTCTAAACCAGTTACTCGAAAAGTCACTCTAGATTTAAAAATTGACTGCGTGTCTTTAGTTAGTGTTAACTTTTACGTCATTGATGACTTAGTAGGTTGTGATATACTAATCGGCCGTAACATAACGGAGCGAAATGATTTGATATATTCACGTGTAGGTAATTCATTCAAGTTTGACTATGCGCAATCACTTAGTGAATTTTGTGACGTTATTCACGAGACTAAGATCGATACTGACACTCACTTAAATGAACTGATTTATTTATTTAGACAATATAAACAGTGTATCGCGTCAGACATAAAAGAGTTAGGGAAAGTGAACAACCACGAGATGATTATTACTCTGACAGACCGGTGCAGTGCAGACCTTTTCGAGCCTCCCATTCAGATAGAAAGATTATTCGAGATATGGTGCAGGAATTAGTTGATAATAAAATAATTCAAGAAAGTAAATCCCCTTACGCGAGTCCTGCTTTGCTTGTAAACAAAAGAAATGGCGAGAAAAGACTCTGCATCGACTACCGCGCACTGAATAAAATAACAGTAAAGGACAAGTACCCAATGCCCAGAATAGAGGATCTTATAGATAGACTACAGGGTTATAAATATTTCACGAGTCTTGACCTAAAAAAGTGGGTACTACCAAATTATTATGAGCCCACAGTCCGTTGGGAAAACGGCATTCATTACCGAAGATGGCCATTATGAATTTCTGCGGCTCCCATTCGGGTTAGCTAATGCACCATCTTGTTTTCAACAAATGATGAATAAGGTACTAGGTAATTTAAGGTTTGAGAACGTTATTGTTTATTTAGATGACATTTATTTAATGACACAAACTATTGAGGAAAATTTAAAGCTCTTGGAAAACATTTTGAAAATATTTAAAAATAATGGTTTAACTTTAAATTTAAAAAAATGTCATTTCCTTAAAACTGAAATAGAGTTTCTCGGATACAGAATAAAACAAAACTGCGTTATGCCGAACGAAACCAAAGTGGAAGCCGTTAAGAAATTTCCCGTACCGAAAACTGTCCACCAGTTGCGACAGTTTCTAGGGCTAATTAATTATTTTCGCAAATTTATTAAAAACTGCGCTATAATTTCTGCCCCTCTTACTAAATTATTGAAAAAAAGATGCTCCTTGGTATTGGGATTCCGTGCATGATCAAGCGTTTCAAATATTAAAAGCAAAACTAACGTCAGATAGCGTATTATCTATTTTTGATCCAAATAAAGAAACCATTTTGTATACGGACGCTAGTCGAGATGGCGTTGCGGGTATTCTTGTTCAGGTTGCTGATGAGGGTGAAAAACCTGTGTATTACTATAGCCGCCAGACAACTGAGGACGAAAAGAAATACCATTCATTTGAGTTAGAACTCCTAGCAATCGTAACTTCACTCCAAAAATTTCGTCTTTATTTAATTGGTTCACCTTTCACTGTTATCACAGATTATAACGCGGTCAGGTACGCGTTGACTAAAAAGAATATTATTCCCCGGATCGCACGATGGGTTCTTTCGACTCAAGAGTTCATGTACGAAATAAAGCATAGAGAAGGTACACGTATGCAACATGTGGACGCCTTGAGTCGAAATCCCATTCCCTCGGGTGAGAGGTCGGAAAGGGAAATAATATTATCGATAACCGAAGGAGACTGGTTACTTTCTGTACAAATACAAGACCCTGACATTGCGAAAATTAAAACTGTATTAGAGTCTGGTGAAATAGATGAAAATAAAATCATTTTTGACACGTATGAACTGTTAGGTGGGAAAGTGTACAGAAGATCAGCCCAAGGGCGACGATGGGTCGTACCAAAGAGTTGTATATGGCAAATAATAAAATACAACCATGATGACGTGGGCCATTTTTCTGTCGATAAAACTTTTGAGAGAATAGGGCACAAATATTGGTTTTCTCGTATGCGTCACATAATAAAAAAATATATTAAAAACTGTTTGAATTGTATTTATTACAAAAATAAGGGCGGTGCTAAGGAAGGACAGTTATACCCGTTGCCAAAATACGCGCAGCCTTTTCACACTTTGCACGCGGACCACTTAGGTCCGTTCGTTAAAACACGAAACGACAATATGTACTTACTAGTTTTAGTAGATGCATTCACTAAGTTTGTGTTTATCTGTGCTGTAAAGTCTACAAAAACATCCGATCTCATAAACGAATTAGATAATATAACTAAGATTTTCGGTAATCCAAAACGAATCATTTCCGATTCAGGGTCATGTTTTACTTCCAACATGTATAAAGAATACTGCAAGAGCAAAAATATTCGCGCGCATATTGTGGCAACAGGTATGCCTCGCTCAAATGGACAGGTAGAAAGATTTAATAAAACAATTCTAGAATCATTAAAAACTATTGGAGCAGATACTACTGAAGATAAGTGGGACCAATATGTTAAAATAATACAGCAAGGTTTAAACAGTACAATCCATAAAACTATTAATGCCGTTCCCAGTGAGGTTTTATTTGGATATCGTTTGCGCGTTGACAATGACAATGTAGAGCCAGAGCTTGATGATGAATCGCTAGTGGACGTAACAGAGTTGCGAGCAAAGGTAAATAAAAATATTAAAGCCAGTGCAATATCACAAAAACGAAGGTTTGATAAAACTCGGGCAAAAACCAAAATTTACGAAGAAGGAGATTTGGTATTGATCAGAATACAAAGCCAGAGCAACGATGGTCGAAGCAGAAAACTCCTGCCCACCTTCAAAGGACCATTTCGAGTAAAAAGGGTTCTGGGTAATGACAGATATGAGGTATCAGACCTAAGGGGTTCTGAAAGGAGCAGTAAACCGTACAATGGCGTTGCAGCTGCTGAAAATATGAAGTATTGGATACGAATAGATGACTGGAAATTGGAATAAGCAGTTAACAATATGGTCCGTGTTGGCAAGTCATAGTTTTAAAGGTATGTACCGCACTTTCTTGTCTGCTGCTAACAATTAATAAACTCACTGCTTTATCATTTTATTGCAGATAAAATTAAGTGGTTACTCAGCCTCACATACAGTATTGCTATTGCTTATATTTTACTCGCGAGGCTAGATAAAACACTTGTACCTTAATTCTCGCCAGGATAGAAACACCAGCAAATGTAAATACAGCTTGGAAAACAACTTGGTACGTTTAAGTGTAGCGAACAGCTCTTTAAATGCAAGTGATTCCAAGTGGTAAGCTCTAGGAAAACCAGGACTCTTAAGTGTGGCATAGTCCCTTTAAGTACGGTTGAACTAGCAGCAACAGAGTAGGCACTTGCTGATGATTCGAAAACGTATTATGACTTGTGATTCATACTTGTAGATTGAGAAAACTAGTTCTGATGTTGATTTTGTTTCAGTGTTTTACCTAGCATCGTGGGGCGCCTGGGACATGCGCCTTGCAGAATGGCCGTGTTGGCAACTTTGTGGAGCGAGCGCCATCTGTTTTGGGCGGACGGAACTGCAGGCGCCGCCTAGCTAGCCGTGACGTCGGCATCGGGCCACGACGACTGCACGTGGTGGGGATGAGACGGGCTGGCGGACGGTTCGCTCAGTACACCCGGGGCACTTACTTGCGGACCGTGCGACGGAGCAGTCATCTCTAGCTCCATTATTTGGAAATAAATTATTAATTATTTATTTTGTTAAATCAGTGGCTGATTATTATTATATATTTTGTTAAAAGGTTTGGTTTTAATATAAATGTGTGCTGAGAATTAACCTAATAGTTTAACTTATTGCTCCAAAGTCGTTACAGTGTTTAACCTTTAAAATACCCACAACTACACATTAAGATATTGATAACTGAGTAATAATATTATTACGTTGATAACACCAATGCCGCGAAGAAAATTTTGTACATTATTCAACGAACTTCATCTACTTGTACTCATAAACAGCTAACTTCGCAGATACTACTTACCAACGGCAGTCAAGAGACAGGCGAGCTATGCTTAGCTCATCCTCACACCCGAATACACCTCATGCTTAGTTTCATCCTTTTTTTCTCTTTATTGTGAGGCTTCATGTTGCAGTGGCATAGTGGGCATGAATTCATTTAACTTTTAAATAAAAAATATTAAAAAAAAGAGGTAGGTAGGTTGAAAATAAATGATTTCATATCTTTTTTTGTAAATTCTTTTCGTAAGGTTACGTTTGAAGTCCTTTAAATATTTTTTTTACATATTTAATTTTTTGTTATTTTTTTTTCGCATACCTAATGAATCCAACTATATTTTGAATTCATAAGAAGATGTGGTCATCTCTTTACTTTTTCATATATAATTTTATGAAAAAAAAATCACACTAAAAATCTCTTTTGCGTAAGTTGGATCTTGATTATTACATCTAAAATAATGCTAAATGAAACAAACTTGTTCAGAAAGCAAAAATTTATTATTGACAGTTATAACATCACTTTATTATTTTATTTTGAGAACTACAGTCATCAATCAATTGTTTTTGTAAATCAGTCCACTTTCCTTGACCGCCTTTGGCGCCCGATCTGTATCTTAAGTGGCATGACTCGATCGACGGGTTGCACGCCAAACTTAAGCCATCGGTTATAATATACATGAAAATTCTATAATCAGTAAGAAACTGCATAAGAATTTATTCTTAGAATATATAAAATGGACCCGGAATGGGATAGGTGAAGCAGTTAGAATGTTGTGTGTTGGTAGTGTTAAAAATTTGCACGTAGGCATCTTGAACAATGTTTTTGCTTATCCAATGTCAGAGAAAACCAAAAAGGCTGGCCAAACCGGCAGACTTCATTCTGTGTAAGGAATAGGTGTGATTGCTTATGATTCCACTCACTCCTTGAATATGAATATTTATGCATCACAAACATACTTCTTCACTCTAACAAGCTTAGTTTTTGAATAATTAAGCTTTAGAATGGAATAACCTTTTATACCTGCGTTTCCAAAAATCATCATCATCATAATTACAGCCTTTCACAGCTGTTGCTGAACATAGGCCACCATATAGCACAGTCCTGAGACACCAGCATTAATCGACTTCCTGTTTCCCTTACTAGGTCTATCGCTAACTCTATCTTGAGAGGGCGCCCTAGACTTCGCTTATCAATACGTGGCTGCCACTCGAAAACATTTCTTCCCCATCATTTGTCGGTTCTACGAGCTATATGACTGGCCAATTGTCACTAAATCTTACTTATCAGTTGAAATAACGGCAGAGTATACCTTTCTGTCTTCCGCATAAAGTATGTTCTATGATACTAAAGCCTTTTAGAAACCGATGTTGTAGCTTTTCGGACTGTTAGGTCATATGAACAAATATGACCAAAATACTAATAGGCAAATTGGGCTGTATAGTCTATGACCTTTGCCTGACTTAAATGGTTAACCTGGAGGACAGCTTTGTCTACTATAAATCAACAATAATAATCTATACTCTATAGTCTATACCAGTCTATACTCTACTAGTCTACTACTCTTTTCTCTTTCTTTTCTGTTGCCTGTCAAGTTAAGGCTGTTGTGTTAAAAAGTTGAAACAATGGTAAATTCATATTTTAGTAAAATCTTTTGGTATCTTTACAATCATACATTCAAACACTACAACAATTGCTATTTTCGATGTCAATTTGTTGAAAAGTGTTAAAATTCACGTATTTATGTCTTAACCTTCCTTACAGGGTCGTGTCAGGACTAAGACCGTCAAAAAGGCAGCGAAAATTATTATTGAAAAATATTACACAAGATTAACTCTTGATTTTGATACAAATAAGCGGATATGTGAGGAAATAGCTATAATCCCAACCAAACCCCTTCGTAATAAGATCGCAGGGTAAGTAGTTGAAAAAGTATTTTGTAAACTAGGTGTTAGATATTTTATGGTGGTGGATACCAAACAGGATTGACATGGTAAAGTACTGCAGTATTTTAGTTTTTATTGCTTTTAAATATAACTATTTCCTCATGTAATTAATATTAGGAAACATTACTGTTTGTTTTTACATTTACTATTTTTAAAACTAGAAAAGGGTATTATAATATGGTATTGATTGAAAGGAAGTGATTTATTCATTAGCCAGTTAAAACATTAAATGAATATTTAAAATGTTTATTATTGTTTTAACTTTAAAATGTTTATTAATATTTTAGCTGGATAGTAATTAGTCATGAACTGAGCCCTTTTATTTTTAAGATTTATCTGTTAAATTTATAAATTATTTTTGTTTCAAATTTTTCATTGCTTTTAATAAAGTAATATTCATTAATATTCTAAGTATTATTGTTCCCGATTTAACAAATCAATGTTAGTATAATACTTGAATATTTACAGATTTGCTACCCATTTGATGAGACGTCTGAGGCACTCACAAGTGAGAGGTATTTCTATCAAACTGCAGGAAGAAGAGCGTGAGAGGCGTGATAACTATGTCCCAGAAGTATCTGCCCTTGAACATGACATTATTGAGGTTGATCCTGATACTAAGGACATGTTGAAGATGCTTGACTTCAACAACATCAATGGCCTCCAACTGACACAGCCTGCAACTCAGGGAGGCTATGGTGGCAGACGTAATTAGGTCTTAATAAACATAAATACCTATAAAGACTTTCTCTTATTTTAGTAATGTTTTCCTTTTTATTATCAGTGTAGGATGATGGTACAACTTGGTTACACTGTTTATATTAAACTTTAATTTAAATGTGCAAAATATAAATATACTAAAATTATTTAGACAAAACACTAAAGTATATACAATTTCACATAGACAGTGTTGCTGCTACATAAAACTTTGTATTATAATGTTATCCCATTTGTGGCGGTGGATGCACAATGGTGTCATATAAATTGTTTCTTAGGTAGATGACACCGATAGGCTTAAATTATATTTTGGCGATAACTCCACCAATTTCTATTCTAAAGGGATATACCTTTTATATGCGCATGTTTACATACATTCAACATCATTATAGTCGACCTCTCTGTAAATAATAATTTTAGTAAAATAATGAAAATGCCCCAGATGGCAAAATTTGAGGCAAATGAATGTCATATCTTATTGTGGGTTTGGCTAGAAGTAATAATTCTAACAGTTTTATTCTGTACACAATACGACATTGACGATTGATTATCAATTGTAAATGATTGATAGGCATTTATGAGACATATTTGAATTCATCATCATTACAGCCCTTCACAAGTCCACTGCTGAACATAGGCCTCCCACCAAGAAATGCCACAAAGCACGATTCTGAGCCACCTGCATCCATCGACTTCCTGCATGTCTTACCAGGTCGTCACTCCATCTAGTAGGGGGTCGCCCTACACTACGCCTACCAGTACAAGGCTGCCACTCGAGAACCTTTCTTCCCCATCGGTTATCGGTTCTTCGAGCTATATGGCCGGCCCATTGCCATTTCAGCTTACTAATCCGTTGGGCTATGTCGGTCACTCTGGTTTTACTGCGGATATCCTCATTTCTGAGTCTATCACGCAGTGAAACTCCGAGCATAGCCCTCTCCATAGCTCGCTGAGCGACCTTGATCCTCATACGGCCAGCGGTGAAGGACCACGTCTCAGATCCGTAAGTCATCACTGGCAACACGCACTGGTTATACACTTTAGTTTTCAGAGATTGCGGTATACCTGACGAGAAGATGTGTCGTAATTTCCCGAACGCTGCCCAGCCGAGTTGAATCCGTCGATTGACCTCTCGGTCGAAGTTGGACTTACCTAGTCGGACTATTTGTCCCAGGTAAACATACTCGTCAACAACTTCGAGCATAGTGCTCCCAACAACTACCGGCATAGGTGTGACATGGACATTAAACATGATCTTTGTTTTTTACATATTCATCTTAAGACCTATCCGTTGGGAGATACCAATGAGGTCATTGAGCATAGTGCTAAGGTCCTCCAGCGATTCTGCCATAAGGACTATATCGTCGGCAAATCGAAGGTGAGTGATGTACTCGCCGTTGATGTTAATACCGTATCCTTTCCGGTCCAGTAGCTTGAAAACGTCTTCCAACGCAGCGGTGAAGAGTTTCGGGGATATAACATCAACCTGTCTTACACCTCTCTGCAGTTGGATAGGTTTCGTACTCTGGTTCTGTACTCGGATAGCCATCGTAGCCCTACTGTACAAACACTTCAGCACTTCAATATACCGACAGTCAACTAGGCACCGCTGAAGAGACTGTAGCGCCGCCCAAATTTCGACGGAATCAAAGGCTTTCTCATAGTCCACATACGCCAGGCAAAGTGGCAGATTGTACTCATCGGACTTCTTTTCGAACCCGATACAAAAAACCAGTCACGAGTTTGGGCGTTCTAAAATGAGTTAAAGCCAACAAAAATTGTTCGTTCACTGAGTGTTGCAAAAAAAAATAGTGGCCACGTTTGTCTCCAAAACCGGCCATGTTACGACTATTCCTCTTGAAGGACAAGAAACGCTTAATGCAGAATGGTATGCTAGCATTTGTTTGCCACAGGTCGTTTCTGAACTCCGTAAAGAGAACTGCAACCGCCGCATCATCCTCCATCACGACAATGCGAGTTCTCACAGCGCACACAGAACAAAAAAGTTTTTAGAGCAAGAAAACACAGAATTATTAGACCATCCGCCGTACAGCCCCGACCTAAGCCCTAATAATTTCTATACTTTTCCCTAAAATAAATAATAAATTGCGTGGACAGAGATTTTCATCACCTGAAGAAGCTGTGGACGCCTACAAAACGGCCATTTTGGAGACCCCAACTTCCGAATGGAATGGTTGCTTTAATGATTGGTTCCATCGTATGGAAAAAACCGGCTAAGAGCGTGTCGGGCCACGCTCAGTGTAGGGAACTACTACTAAACTACAGAAGTAGTTTCCCGTCCGTCACAATAAGTGTTCCCACTTATGAGTTTAAAAGTGGGTATCCATTATGTTCGCGCTCCGCGCTCCTGCAACTGCTCCCGGTAGTGGGTACTGTTGTTTCCATCCAAGTTCAAAATGATTTTCCTAGAAAGTCCTTATAAAGTTCTACTTTTCAGATTTTTTTTTTAAATATGGTTCAAAAGTTAGAGGGGGGGGGACACATTGTTTTTTTACTTTTGGAGCGATTATTTCCGAAATTATTGACATTATCAAAAAATGATTTTAGTAAACCCCTATTAATTTTTAAATACCTTTCCAACAATATATCACACGTTAGGGTTGAAATTAAAAAAAAATCACTTCCCACTTTACATATAGGGGGGCTACCCTAATAAAACATTTTTTTCCATAATTTTTATTTTACCACTTTGTCGGCGTGATTGATACACATATTGGTACCAAATTTCAGCTTTCTAGTGCTAACGGTCACAGAGATTAAGCGAAGACGGACAGACAGACATGGCGAAACTATAAGGGTTCCTAGTTGACTACGGAACCCTAAAAAATGTGTCAAATTTCGCGGAGTATACTTCGAAAAGCAATAAATACATTTTTAAATAAGTACCTAGTAATGTTGTGTCACTTCCTTGATTCCCGAAATTTTCAGTGCCGCCCTCGTATTCGTTTTAATGTCACCCATCTGTATCTGTAGGCCAATAAAAGTCTAGAGCATCCTTGGTTATTTGACGCCAGTTTTTCATCCTGCTGAAATTTGGAATATTTGTATTTTCTAATAGTTTTGAGGCATAGTTTTTGGAACAAGTTAAGGTGAGATTTAACATGTCACGATCCATAACTAAAAAAGGTAATCTGTCCTTTGTTAGTCATTTCCACCCTTAAACCAGGACGCTGTTCGAAATCAGTTAGGTTGAGGTCAAATTATGCCGTGAGGCGAGCTTCGACGTGAGTTGGTCAGGGAACAATAGGGAGTTAATAAATGGCAAAAATAAATTCGTCTATATTATGAATAACTATTATTTTCGGATCTACAAAATCTAGTAAAACAATAGCGCGGCGTCTTAAAAGGGCCATAAAACACGTGCAGGATGGCAATGTTTATTGCTTTGGTTTATAAACCAAATTTTCTCACACCGTCACTCAATAAACTCGGTGACGATGGTCGGGCCTCACCTTCAAGAGAAAGTCAGTATTAATTATTAAGTAAAACATGTAACTGAAAATCCTTCTCGATGTTTTCTCTTCCCTTCAACTATTAATTAAAGCACTACATATACTTAGTACATATAACCAAGGTTAATTTGTATGTTATGGGATACCATGGTTGGGCACATAATTATTAACGATTACAATTAGGGCTGACATTGTCATATTAGGTTAAATTAATTTTACAGATTTTAATTATCTTAAAAGTAGATTAAATACTATTATTAAAAGTATTTTTAACTTAAAACTGTCAGAAAAAAGGTTTGTAATCCCTGGTCATATTTCAATAATACTGAAAATTCTGTCTCCGGTCGGCGTCAAAGCTTTTAAATATGAGACGCGTACGACGCCTATCGGCGTCAGTCCTTTAAACCACCCTCCCCTTGGTAATAAGGACCATATTTTTAGCCGCCTTGAATGGGTTAATATGCTTCAGGCCCAGAAGTTACCAAGGTTAATTTGTATGTTATGGGATACCATGGTTGGGCACATAATTATTAACGATTACAATTAGGGCTGACATTGTCATATTAGGTTAAATTAATTTTACAGATTTTAATTATCTAAGCATGTAGTGTAGAGGTAAGGAGAACTATCTCACATAGAAAAATAGTTAAAAAAGGCCATCTGTAAGGAGTAAATAACAATTCAAAATCTCTCCACAATAGCATTGGAGTAGCTAGAGGGTATGAAATGAACTTTACTTAGTAATTGTTGACGGAGTGAAGTATGCTGAGTTGAATTTAATATTTGTGGTGACTAGAGGATGAAACTGCAGTATTTAAAACCCTTTGAGTATTAAACCAATGTTGGTTGAATACTCAAAGTTAAAACCTCATCTGCTCATGTTGTCTAAAATAATTTAGTAAATATAACCAAAAAAAGTCGCCGTGAAACACGTTGAGTGATTTTGAAAACAATAAAATAATAATTATAAAAAGAATTATGGTAAAAGTATGCAATGAAACATCTACACTTGTTACATGTTAGTGAGGGCTAATCATCTGCTCACCGGATATCAAAAGCTATAAAAAGTTTATCAGCTTCTAGTGTATTACCTTACCGACATTAATCATATCGACGCTTGAAAGGCAATCCTTACTAACCGACATAAATCCGTAAAATGAGTTATATATACCATTAGAACCGCCAGATTTTTCTACGTCGTTTGGTCTAGGTCTCATAGTTCTACGACGAGTTTTATTGTCGCTTAGATATTGCATGATTTCGGTCAAATCTACATTTTGTATTTACTAAACGACCAAAAAATAGTGATTTTAAGAATACCCAGCAGTTACGACATTCTAACAACTAGGAATATGAACTTAGTCGGTTTTTCATGTATTGACTTTTTCATTTATTTGTATTTACGTATTTTTACTTGTTATGAAATTTTCCTTTGAAACCACTTAGTAGATTTAACCTACACAAAGCAATTGTAATTTATGTGGTTATGTATTTTAACTTGTTATTTTATTTTGTGACAGTGTCATTTGTATAAGTTAACCTGAAAAAAAGTTTAAGAATATTAGAGCTTAGGTATTTTTACATGTATAACATAATATTTCTTTTTATCCTTAGATATTTTTATTTGTTAACGGTTAATATTAATGATGTCGGTTAGATAGTCTTACTGGATTTGCTAAATGGCTAAGTATGGCGCGTAGATAAATTTACCCGTACGCAAAATTTATTTTATCGTCGCTAAGGAACCGCTCGAGTTTAAAAAACGTCGTGTAGGTATGCGCGACATATCGCGACACGTGTCGTGACACGTCTATATGGGTTCTTATTCTGGCGCCCGCCGTCGCTTAGGGAGGACGTACTTCACATTTTGGCGCGCATTAAATGAAACATGGTAAGTATCTAGTAGTCTGTGATGGTAAGTTTCAATCAAATTATGCAAAGGTAGTACCTATTTCAAAACAGCATTTCGTTTCGGATTATTTTTAAACTCTATTACGTTTAAGATAGAATAAAGTACTCATTTTAAGTCAATTTTATTTTACTTACTGCAGCAAAAAATGAGTCGCGAGCGGAAACGACGTAGTTCATTCATAGTCGAGATGGCGTTGGTCAATGCCGGCATAACAAGGAATGTTCCGCAGTGTCGAAGACGATTGAGTTATAATCTAAACACAGTAAGTAACCAATTTTTTATAATTTGTTACAGTACCTATTTATTTATCTTGTAAGTTCACTTAGTAAAAATACTCAGCATAAATCTGACATCATCGAATTGATTTTTTTTTGCAGACTGCGGCTTGGTCAACTAATAGCAGTACAAAGCAGTTTAATAAAACGTTAGAGCCAGCTTCTATCAGCATTGACACTTCGAAAGATTTAGCTTTTCCGGTTCTTGCCGATAGTTTAATATGCACCGCAACAGATCACACTGAAATAACTGCATCGATTAATGCTACAAGCATATCGGTTGATCACGAATTTAATATCACTTCAACTGCTGAACGAGATATTGAAGAACCGACTTTGAATCATCACCAAGTTGAGAAAAACACACAATATACATCACTTACGTCAGATCATGATGTACCGTCTACATCGGCAGGACCAAGTAAAGAATCTATCGTATCAAATCCAATTAAAAGTAAAGTTGGTAAAAGAAAATCCAAGAAAGATATTAAATATATTGACCTCTTATTTTAGCCTCTGTCATAATCGGTTGACGTTTTATAAAAGCTGGTAGTATTGGGGTATTCAAAATAGATTTAACTATGGCAACTCAAAATGCTGACAATGGTAACACTAGATGTGTATGTGGGGGATTTCCCTGTTCTTCTTGAATTATGTTTGTATTACATTCAAGTTCAATCAGTCATAGAAGGACGTACTTTAGTTTGGTATCGCATTAGATTTCACGGTGATAATACATTATTAGTAATATCTTGCAATTTAAATTCTAATATCGTGGGTGTGTTATGATATACCTTATTGATCATAATTATATAAAATGATGCTTTTTAACCCTCTCTTAATAAATTTATCCCGAATGTTCCTATTGATATATGAATTATTTCAGAGAGTACACAATAACACTTAAAAAGTCACATAAGTATAGTCATCAGCACCATATCCATATCCATAATGCATTGCCATTTTGGGAACGCTATTCACATTGAAACATGCAACACTGTAAATTACAGTGCTGCTAATCGGATTACGCGTCAAGTTACGATGAACGGACAATAGAATGCTCCGGTCCATAGTGATGGGACAGGGTTGGGACGTTGATCGATAATTGGATTTATTGATTATTGATAATAAAATGAATGATGCCTCTAATGAATGCTATAAGAGACGAGAATGAATGTATTCTGAATGATGAAGCTTCGAATTTAAACAGATGGAAGAAATACTTTGAAAGCGTGTTTATGAGTCAAGAGTGTGTTAATGTGAAATTCGAAAGAAGTGGAAGGGGTATGGAGATAAGTGTAGATGAAATAATGAAAAGCAATGAAAAGCAGGTAAGGCAGCTGGATATGATAGAGTATCACTCGAGATGCTAAGGGCTGGAGAGGGAGTGGTGGCAGGCCTGCTGTACACCTTGTTTAATTTATGTTGGGAATTAAAACGGGTACCGGATGACTGGTGTGAAGCAGTTATAGTACCAATATATAAAGGAAAAGGGTCACAGCGGGACTGCAAAAACTACCGTGGAATCAGCTTGCTTAGTATTGTGGGTAAACTGTATGCTAAGGTGTTAATTGAAAGAGTTATAAAAGAAACTGATGGAAAAATTTGGGATGTGCAAGCGGGTTTTAGAAAGGGAATGAGGTGTACAGATCAAGTCTTTTCCATGCGCATGATTGCGGAGAAGTTTTTGGCCAAAAACCAGAAAGTTTTTTGTGCGTTCATGGACTTGGAAAAGGCTTATGACAGAGTGGACAGGGATGTGTTATGACAAACGCTGAACTCATTTGGGTTGAGCGCTGGTTTGATACAGGCATTAAGGTCTCTTTATAGGGACTCTAGTGCTTGTGTCAGGATCAATGGGGTCTACTCAGACTGGTTTGGCTTCCAAAAAGGTGTCAGATAGGGCTGTGTAGCTTCCCCTTGGCTGTTCAACCTATTTATGGACAGGTGTTTGCAAACTTTGAAAGATGAAGAATGTGGGTTAAGAATGGGTGAGTTAACCGTCAAATGCCTTTTGTATGCCGATGATCAAGTCATATTTGCGTTTGTCGGCGGCTGAGTTGCAAATGATGGTTACATTAATGAACTGGGAATTAAAAGATAGGGGAATGAAAGTGAACGCAAATAAGACGAAAGTGATGGTTTTTGAAAGAGAAGAAAGCAAAACGGTAAGTGAAATAAGAATAGAAGGAGAGTTAATTGAGCAAGTGGATGACTTTGTGTATTTGGGATGTGTATTTAGCAGGGATGGTAGATATGATAGGGATATAGAACGACGAGTAAATGCAGGGAATAGAGTGAATGGGACACTACACTCTATTGTGAGGAACCAGAATGTGTCAAAAAAGGCACGTATGGTAATTCATAATGCTGTGTGCCCTACTTTAATGTATGGTAGTGAAAGCTGGGTGTGGCAGAAGAAGCACGAAAGTAGAATAAATGCTGTAGAAATGCGGTCTTTAAGGAGTATTCTAGGGTTGAATCTGAATGACAGGGTGAGAAATTGCGTGATAAGAGATAAATGTGGTATGCAAGATGATGTTGTGACCAGGATTAAGAAAGGAATGCTTCGGTGGTTTGTTCATGTAGAAAGAATGAATGAGGAAAGAGTGACAAAGCAAATTTATATGGCAGATGTGAACGGCCGAGTCGGGAAGGGACGCCCTAGAAAAAAGTTTATCGACCAAATTGGCGATATTTTGAAAAGGGGCCACGTTAGAAGTACCCTTAACCGACGAGCATGTATGCGTAGATATATGGATGTAAAGGAGGCGAAAGAGGTATGTCAGGATCGTGCCAAATGGAAGTCCGTAGTCTCTGCCTACCCCTCTGGGTGACAGGCGTGAGTGTTTATGTATTATGTATTATGATTATTGATAAATAAATAAATTGATCAATTTTTATTTGCAATTTATTAAAAAATAAAACAGTGTATATAAATAAAAGAATATACATTTGTACATGTAATCTAATGATTTCTTAAATTTACGCGAATACTACACATTGAATAAAACTATATAATTTGGATTTTATCGCATTTAATTAAAACTTATGGTCACGGGAGGGGGGGACTGAGATGTTCGACATCTCAATATCATAATTAGCACGGCAATCTTCAGTTTTCGAATATTGATTTTTGGTCCCGATCTACATAAAACGAGCTTACAGTGTCTTGAAGTCTTGCAGTGGTATGCTTGGGTTTGGACAGATTTTGTTAATTATAGGATCCCAAGCAGATGGCAGCACCCATCCACCGACTGTGGCCGGCTTCACTCGGTCGCTGTGACGTAGGCTTGGGACCCAAAGCTTGTTGTCTTGCATTACTTGCTAGACATGCTGAAGCTCGGCGGCCAGATGTATTCTGTCACAGATCCCTTATGCTCTCTGAAACAAATATTTACCCACAGCAGCAAACTATGAAGAATAATGATGAGATTCACCATTTAAATATCGGTTGGTATAGGCCTTTTTCCTATACATAGTAACATCTAGGAAAGCTAAAGTATTATTTACTTCTAACTCTATCGTGATTTGTATTTTAAAGTTTATGCAGTTAAGGTGGTCTAAAAATGCAGTTGCTTTGTCAGATGGTAAAATGGTAAAAGTGTCGTCTACGTACCGCTTGTAGAATCTTGGATTAATAGGAACAATAAGAAAGGTTTCTCCTCAAAGTGACTGCTGCATAAAAACTGGTGCATAACAAAGAAAAGAAAATAACTTTTACAATTAAAGAAATAGATCAGGTAGTTAAATCTATGTCTAGAGGTAAATCCCCTGGCCACGATGGGCTCAGTATCGAACGTCTCAAGTTTGCTGGCCCGCACCTACCTAGGGTACTTTATTTATTATTTAATCTCTGCCTAGGACATGGATACATGCCCCCTGACATGATACGTACGGTTGTAGTGCCTATAGTGAAGAATAAAACAGGCGATCTCGCGGATAAAAACAACTATAGACCTACATCGTTAGCAACTGTCATTTCAAAAGTGTTCGATAGTGTGCTTAATTCTCAATTAAATAAATACATAAAACCATACGACAGTCAATTTGGGTTCAGACCGAAATTGTCTACAGAAAGCGCGGTGTTGTGTCTTAAGCACACTGTCACTTACTACACGGCACGCAAAACGGCAGTCTTCGCTTGTTTCTTAGACCTGTCAAAGGCTTTTGATCTTGTGTCCTACGACTTACTGTGGGATAAACTGGAGAAGATCCAACTACCTTTAGAACTCATAAGTATTTTCAAATATTGGTACGGGAACCAGGTCAATAATGTGAGATGGGAAGGTGCCCTATCTAGATCATACAGTTTGGAGTGCGGGGTGAGACAGGGGGGTTTGAGTTCACCCACGCTCTTCAACCTGTATGTGAATGAGCTGATAGGTGAGCTCAAGAGCATCAGAGTCGGCTGTCACATAGACGATGTCTGCGTCAACAACATCAGTTACGCATATGATATGGTGTTGCTGAGTGCATCTATATGCGGCCTACGAAGATTGGTGAAGATTTGTGAAGCTTTCGCCCTCACACATGGTCTGAATTATAATGTAAAAAAGAGCCACGTCATGGTCTTTGAGACCGGGAGTAAGAGACATGACTTAGTACCATCTATTTCAATTAATAGTAATACTTTACAAAGAGCGTTCAGGTATAAATATCTTGGCCATGTTCTGACTCCTCGTCTCAGGGATGATGATGACATTGAGAGGGAACGGAGGGCGTTGTCAGTAAGAGCGAACATGATAGCTCGCAGGTTTGCACGCTGTTCAAGGGAAGTTAAAATAGCCCTATTTAGAGCTTACTGCACGTCATTTTACACGTGCAGCCTGTGGGCTAGATATACTCAAAAGGCTTACAACGCCCTCCTAGTACAATACAACAACGCATTTAGGGTGCTGCTGGGACTGCCTCGCTTCTGTAGTGCATCAGGGATGTTCGCGGAAGCGCGAGTGGACTGCTTTTACGCGACCATGCGCAAGAGATGCGCGTCTCTGGTGCGCAGGGTGCGGGGGAGTAACAATAGTATCCTGAAAGTGATTGCTAGCAGGCTGGACTGCCTATACATGTGCCATTGTAGCGCCATATCGGGTGGATTGGTGAGAAAATGGCACATATAAATATAAATGTATTTTTTTTATACTTCACATAATTATATGTAATAATAATATTATGCTTACTAACATAGCTATAAGTTTAGTTTATAAGTAATACTAACAAAATATGAGCCTTGGTTGCTTGAATAAATGAAATGAAATGAAAAAAGTGCTCCATGATATATGTCGGCGACAATAGGAAATACAGGTGAGCCCATCGCCACACCGTCAACTTGCTTGTAGAACTCTTCCTTCTACAATAGATAGCCAGATGTGAAGCAGTGTTTGAGTAATACTGCATATTCTGCAGGCATGTTGTTATCTTGTAGCTTCCTAGTTACAATGGAGAAGCAATCTTCAATAGGTAGGCATGTGTATAGTGACTGAACACCAAAACTGACCATAGTTTCATTGTCAGCGAAATGTAGGTCTTTTATATCACTAACAAAATGGTGTGAATCCTTTGTGTGTGCTCTGGTATGTCCTTTCGGTGGTGACAGTATTTTTGCCAAGTGTTGCACCTAAAAGTAGTATTATTAGTTAAAAAACCATACGGTACGTGTTTCAAATTTAGATGTACTTAATAATAATAATAATGATAGGATATTACTGAAGTTCATGTAACACTAGAATAACAATAATCACATTATAACTTTCACTTGTTTTATGGTTTATAAATCCGTTAAAAATAGTTAAATTTCGACGTGTAACATTCACCTAAATATTAGAAAATCACGTTTCAATCAATCACTTAATGCTATTACTTATTGTGTAATCTAAATTGGTACTAAAATAAAAAAATTAAAAGTCCATACTAAAACTGGCAAGTATAGAGATGGTATAGCGGTATCCAACAGCCTTCTACGGTTTTTCATAATATGAAGATTATCTTCTGTGAAGTGTCTTGAGCATAGCACGCTATGGTTGGTGGGAAACCATTGGTCCCCTCGACATGTAGCATCGATCCACATCTTTTGCTTTCGGGGCATTTGGGAAAAGTATAACATATAGGTACCACAATTATACGCCACTATTTGTATAAAATAATGACTACAAAAAAAGTAAACGATGACCAAACAAATATCCACTTATAAATCACAACACTATCGATACACGTGCTGTTGTTAGACAAAGACAACTATTTTAATTTACGTAATGAGTGTAAGGGACCTTTCGAAAAGACATCAACGGGTGCTCAAATGATATCACTTTGCAACATTATATTTCCAGTGTAAGTTGAATTTACTTACCGATTAAATATTATGCCATCTTTTTGATAACTGGATGTCTTAGCTGACTTGCCACACCATTTCACTGCATAGGAAGGCATTTGTAATGTATTTTGGATACAAAATTATTTTTAAATTTTCCAAAACTCGGACGTGCCTACGGATCACAAACTTGGTCGACACTGATATCGTGATTCTTAGCGTTACTTCGTATGCTAGCTACAGCAAGTATGTGTTGCGCGCGTTTGGGACCCTGTATACGGAATCTATTAGGGGGTAATCTGTGATTTCAATGGAGTGAATTCAGTGGACAGTCTTCGGTAAGTTTAATAGAATAAACAGATTGTAATAGGTATATTTATTTTTTCACCAGTCGTTTCGCAGTGCTAAGTTATATATTAATATTTGTTTATTTATTTAACCTTACACTCACAAGAATGTATGTTGCATTTTAAAATAAATTCACTGATTTATTTCAAGTGCAACAATTCTTTCATAAATCTAACTTTGAAAAAGAAATTAAAAAGGCAGAGGTAAACGTGTCTGGTTTTTTGGTAGAACACAATTTAACGTATTGCGTATTGTGATTAAATGTTTAATACAATAGTAAATGACATTAGTTAGGCGTTTTTCACTACAGAATTTGGCAAGTTTTTACATTGAAGTAATATGTACTAACATACTAGAACAGCTATCTCAAACAAAAAATGTGCGCTACTCTGTGTTAGCGCGGTTGTTTTTTTTATCATAGAACAAACATAGGTAGAATTATCCGTAGGTATAGTATTGTTAAATAGGTAAATTATATCGAGAATAATATTTAAATTTTGTCATTTATTTTGTATATTATATGTGCTTATTTAACATAATATTATATCACAATTACGTTTTGATGATATTTTTATCTGAATATTTTAAAAGGTATCTATGTCAAATATAAAAAAACATACTAAATGTATGTTTATCAAAACTTATTAACATAACATTTAAATTACAAATATATTTATTTAAATTAGGATAAGAGTCGCTCATAAATGCTGGCCACGCGAGAGTTAAAAATGGACGAATTTATTCCACCTTGACTTTAATGTGAAACATAATAATAAAATAAAAGAATAATTAGCAGATTTAAACATTAAAAATTTTGCCTAATTATAATAACTTATATGTTTCTACAAAAAAATGTGTATAATAATTAGTGATACAACAGAACTCTGTTTCCGCAACTGCGGAAGTTCAGCATAGTTTTTAACATCCGTTTCCGCAAGTTTTATAATGGAAGTTTGAACGGAACTCAGCGACGCAGCCACATAATTAGAGGAGGGGTGGAGGAGGGGCATTTCAGCCAACCATAAGCGAGCTGTGCACGTACTTTCGGCACTTGTCCCAACGGGTTTGTTTACATCCTTTTTAACTTTATTACACGGCTTGACGCGAGTGTAAGTGCATAAGATTTTCTGTTATTTTGTGTTTTTAGTTAATTCGTAATTTGAGTCATGTGTGTAATTTAAGTGCAATCATGAAGCCAAAAACAAGTCCTGTTTGGAACTATTATGTTGAGATTGATGATTAAGAAGCCAGATGTAAATTGTGTGACAAAATATACTCGCGAAAATAACGCACAACTACCGCTTTAAAGAGCCCGCTTATAGTGATACACTCCGAAGAATTTGCAGAGTTTGACAAGTTAGTTGAAACTGTAAAGCTTTCATTGCCAACTAAAAAAAATGGTCAGTCAAGGAATTGTATACCTATTTATTTATAAAATGTGTCTCTGTCACAACTTAGCCTTTGTTATAACTTAGATTTGTAAAATTAATTAGGCAGCAGTTATATTTACATGAAGTTTATATTAATTATTTTCTACGTGAAGTTTATATTATTTATTTTTTACTTGTAGTTTATATTAATTATTTTTAAAGATACTTTAAGGAGTATTTTGGATTCAAAGTTCGTTTACGTCCTACTTTCGCGCTAGGGCTGTACCAAATTACCTACTCGCTAAATCTAAATGCGGCTCTTTGAAGGATCTGCCCATATTTCAATACCAGTTTAGCTTTGGTGTATACTCAGCATCGCCAGTGATAAATACTTTAGCTGAGCTGGACTTATATATGAAGAACTCTGGAACAGATTGTTAGGTTTAAAAGCGGCCGAACAACTTTTCATAAAATATAACTTACCGCTACTTAATTTTGAATGTTATTTAAAAGTTTCATTTCAAACTTTTTTTTATTAAATAGTATTTCCGTTTCCGCATCCGTTTCTGTTTCCGTTTCTGCAAAAAATATTTTTAACATCTGTTTCCGTTTCTGCTTCCGATATGACACTTCCGTTGCATCACTAATAATAATATATTCGTCCTATACTTAAGAACCCACAGAAATGTCGCATCTGAACATATTAATTTCATAATCTACTGTATTACTAGCGCGACGACGGAAAGACGTGTGTTGTTTTGCTCCGTGAAATTATTTTCCCTACCATAGTAAACTCTTAATATCTGGTGCTTTGTTTATTATACTTTTGTAGCCTACACATCTACGAACAAAAAAGTGAAAATCGTATCGTGATAAACAAGAGGAATATAAAGTTATAATCGAAAACATTTTGAAAAGTTTTGTTAACGAACATTTTAACACTCGCTGCTCGCTGCATCGCTTCACTCGGCGACCGATGGGTGAGTCGTCGGCTCATTCGGAGACATCGCGCATACAACTCGTCACCGTGCCGCGTTGAGTCGCGGACCGGCTACTCGACCATTATTGTGCTTCGTTTAAACGTACTGAAGATTTTCAAACATTTTTGCATCTAAAGGTAAATAAAATGAGTAATAATATTTGTAGCGGTTGTAATAACACCCTAAAAAGTACCGAAAAAATCACATGTACTCAACCCCGCTGTAAAAAGCAGTTTCATTATCTGTGTGTAAATCTTACCAGTGCGAACTTTAAAAGGAAGTCGAACTGGAAATGTCCTGATTGTTCTATAGAAATGTTATCTGCGCAGCGGCAGACAAAGAATGATGAAACACCATTTAAGAGTTCTACGACGACAGCTGCGAGTCCTACTGACGAAATATGTAACGTCAATACAAACGCACGAGAGAGTGGCAACACTTATAATGATTCGGAAAATTTACGCTTAACTATGAGAACCATCATGCAAGAAGAGCTACATGTTATTGTAAGGGAGGCAATTAGAGAAGAGTTCTCATCATTGAGAAAAGAGATGCGCAGCTTTGAGGATTCTTTAAGCTACATGAATGCCAAATTTGAGGATATGAAGACTAAAGTAGAGGCCTACATGCAAGATACCAAGCAACTCCGTACTGAAAGTGAATTGCTCCAACGCAAAGTTAAAGACCTAGAATCAAGATTGTCAGTAATGGAACAAGATTCCCGGCAGAATAACATAGAAATCCACTGTCTTCCGGAGCATAAACATGAAAACCTGATTAATGCAATGATGCAAATTGGCAAAGTGATAGGTTTTACTCTATCTGAAACTGATGTTTTATCTTGTAATCGTGTACAAAAGCAAAACAATACGTCGAATTTGCCTAAAAAGTTGTATGTAGACTTGTTAATAAGATGAAACGTGACAATCTACTTGCAGCTCTATATAAGTACAACAGATCCCATCCCAATGAAAAGTTAAACACAAAACTACTAGGTTATGGTGACAAGGAGTCACCGGTCTACATCTCCGAGCATCTAACACAAGCTAACAAATCACTCCACGCAATAACAAGAATATGGGCCAAAGAACACAAATTCAAATATGTATGGGTGAGAAATGGAAAAATCTTTCTAAGGAAGGACGACGAACACCCAGCAAAGTTGGTATTGCATCAGGATTTTTTAATGTCTTTAGTTTAATTAGTATTAGATATTACTGTTTCAAAAAGTGATTAGTGCTATTAGTATTAAAGTTCCATTTTTCCATTTATTATCAAAATATTCGCGGCATGCGGACAAAATTAAATGACATTTTTCTTGAAGTTAGTGTCAATGATTTTGATTTGATCGTATTAACGGAGACTTGGCTCAACGATGGTATATACGACAGCGAAATTTTTGACGACCGTTATCAGGTTTTTAGGAGAGACAGATCGTCAAACACTATTGTAATGGCTGCTGATGGTGGAGGTGTACTTATTGCCGTTAAGAAGTCTATTCATGCATATAGAAATTACACTTTCGAAAGTCGCTGTGAGGATTTATGGATAACCTTAATTTTGGGCACCACCAAGCTACACCTATGCTGTGTTTATTTACCGTCCCCTCTTAAACGTACTCATCTTGAGCAGTTTTTAGATAAATGTAGCAGCGTTATGGATAACTTGGATGATGACGTACTTTTGTTTGGTGACTTTAACCAGCGAGATATTGTCTGGTCTCCCACTGTGGATGCATTTTTAAGACCTACTAATTATGACAGCACTATCGCCCGTGACCTTGTTGACTTTTTCTCTGTTATGATCTGAGACAGTTCAACCATGTATTGAACCATCAACAAAAAATATTCGATTTAGTATTAAGTAATTCTAGATGTTGTATTATAGTGCAAGAGTCACAAAATATAATTTCTCGAATAGACTTATATCATCCCCCTTTGCAAGTGCTTTTATCTGTGCGGGGGCCTCGACTACTGCCTCCCAAATTTATACCTAGGTACAACTTCTTTCTAGCAGATTATGGGATAATAAGAAATCGTTTGAACGAAGTGGACTGGAACTCAGAATTGCAATCATGTTTAAAAATAGATGACGCTGTATCTAAATTTTACAATATTTTAAATCAAATTATTGCTGAGTATGTGCCCATCCGGAAACGTAATATTAAGAAATATCCACCATGGTTTTCCTACAACCTCATTCGTTTGTTGCGTGAAAAGGAAAAAGCTCGCCAAAAGTACAAAAAATTTAAAAATGGCTTAGATGAATTGGAATATAATATATTGAAAGAACGAACGTCGACCATGATAAAAAAAATGTTACAGTAGATATATAGAAAAAGTTGTCAATGTTGTAAAAAATCCAAAATACTTTTGCGCATATATTAAGAATGAAGGTAAAGTAAGGAGTGACATACCATCAGTCATGAAATTCAGAGACAGAGTTGCTAGAGACGGTGACAGCATTACCAATCTTTTTGCAGACAATTTTGCTTTAGCGTATGAATCGGCTAGTGATGTTGTTTTGGTTGATGAAAGTACATCTCATGCAACTGTAACATTAGGTCAGATAAACATAACTAGTGATAGAATAGAAAAGTGTTTAAAAAATCTTGATTCCAGTAAAGGAGCAGGAAGCGACGGTAATCATCCAATATTTATCAAAAACTGTGCTACTGACTTAACAAGACCCTTGTATATCATTTACAATCGATCTCTTGTAGAAGGTTCTTTCCCCAAACTGTGGAAAGATGCTGTAATTATTCCAATCCATAAAGCGGGTGATAAAAGCAATGTAAATAACTATAGAGCCATTAGTATTTTTGAATCATTAGTATGCCCTAGTTTATCGTGACACAAACCGTGGCAGAGCAACAACATGGTTTTTTAAAGAAACGTTCTACAGCAACCAACTTTTTAACATTTGTGGATAGAATAATTACTAGTATGAGTTCGGGTAATGAAGTAGACGCAATCTATACAGACTTTAGTAAAGCGTTCGACAAGGTGAATCACTACATTATTAATACATAAACTTAACAACAATTTTGGTATTCATGGGCCACTTTTGAATTGGTTCTCATCTTACTTAAGTAGTCGTATGCAGCGAGTAGTAGTGAATGGTTTTACATCTAGGGATATTTACCCTGCCTCCGGAGTTCCACAAGGCTCCCATCTCGGGCCGATTCTGTTTGTTATGTTCATTGACGACATAAAACACTTATATATTTTTAATTCTCAATTTGAACTTTACGCAGATGATTTAAAGCTATCCAAAACAGTTAATAACAGTGTCGATCAGATAAAACTTCAAGCGGACATAGACAGGGTTACGGAACGGTGTCAACTAAACTGTATGACTTTGAACATTAATAAATGTTGTCACATAAAATTTTCCCGTAAATTTAACAAATTTCCTGGCTCTTACAACATAAACGGAACTGTATTGAACAGAGTCGATCAGGTTAGAGATTTGGGTATTGTTCTCGATTCTGAAATGAGTTTCACTAACCATATTAATAACACGGTTAGCAAATGTTTCAGAATGTTACCTTAAGTATGTCTTAAGAAATTCAAAAGAATTCAAATCTGTTCAGGCAATGAAAGTTTTGTATACCGCCTTCGTGCGTAGCCATGTGGATTATTGTAGTTCTGTTTGGTATCCATTTTATCTGAATAATGTTCACCGTATCGAAAATATTCAAAAAAGTTTGTGAAAAGAATCTCTTTTATCAATGGTAGTTACCGCAGCCTCAGTGGTTATTCTGATAGGTTAAACCAATTAAATTTGCTATCACTAAAGCAACGTAAGGAACAGCTGTCCATAATTTTTTTTGTATAAGTTATTGAACCATGAAGTGGATTGTCCATCTCTCCTATCATAAATTAATATATTAGTTCCTAGAGTTACGGCTCGCCTGCATAATTATAAACCATTTTCTGTGTCCTTGAGAAAAACGAAATATGGTAGTTCCTCTCCTATTTGTACAATGTTAAAAAATTTTAACCTTTTATTTCAAAATGGTAATTTAGATATCTTCTGTGAAAAGATAGATACTTTTAAAAAATCGATTTTGGATTGTTGTAAGATTCATTTTTAGTTTTTTTTTTGTTTTTTTAGTTTTGCCATTATTGTAAAATAAAATCCTTTTATATTTTTACTAATTTAAAATGTTTAATGTGTAATCTGTAAAACAACGTCTTTATTATAATAAGAATGTTGTGCATACCTTTAATTTAAATGCATATGTAAAATGTATTTCTCCAAAAAGTGTGATATCATAAGTTCCGTTTATGTATTTAGTTGGTAAGCCTTGTTGAATAAAATAAAAATAAAATAAAATAATCTATATTCCATGACACGAGATGGAGTCTTGAAAATAATTTGTTTTATTATTAATATAAAATACCTTTTTATTGATTAAGTATCTTATTAACCGATGAAAAGTAATTCCTTGGTTTTTACTGACATTTCTTGAATTATTTGTGCAATATCTAACTACATACGACGGCATATTTTTATCAAGAGATTTTTTAAATCAACACAACACGTGACAACTCCACAAGCGCCTAGCGATGACTGACACAGTGACTGATTAAAGTGTGGTGTATACACCGCAGTTGAGTGGAGCAGAGTAGCCTGTAAGAGTGAGAGAGGCCTCTGTCACTCTTGCTACCTACGTGAAATAATTATACCTAAAATCGCGACGCGCCCAGGCGAAATAACGCAGTCAGGGCTAGCGCGTTGGAGGCGATTTAATGTTAAAGTTTTTAACGCTGTTTACGTAAATAGTTTTATATAAATACTTGTTGAAATAGTTTTTGTTTAGTGTTTAGTATATTTAATTGTAGGTAAAAATAGTTGTAAAAGTTTTAATGTATTTTAAAAATTATTATTTGATAAATTATAATAGCAAAACGTCGTTCCTACTATAACTGTTGCATGGATGAATACTAAATGAAATGACCAACAAAAGAATTCATCATTCTTTAAGTTACCGAAGAATTTTATAAGGAAGTTATGAAAAGGTGAATTTATTTAATTTTTTTGTTGGATATGTACTTACAGTAAAAAAGAATTAAGCAATTATTTGGTCTACAGAAGAAATACCTAAGTACTTTATCACAAAAATTAGTTAAAATTTACTTCACTATCCAAGTATTTACTTACATACCTATACTGGTCTTTTGTAATTAAAATATTTTAAGTGATAATAACGCAAAATACTGAAATTAAAACTTTGTATACTAACAAGATTTTTAACTAAGTAGAATAGATCACATTTCTGTTAGGAATAGTATTTGAGATTTATTTGTTGTTTTCACTATCTACCTATGTCTTCCGAACTAAGTGTCGCGATTCCCGACGAATGACCTTGCAATTTGCATGCATTAGGCATCGCAGAACTCCCATAGGAGCGAAAGTATGGTCAGTCGATCATAGTCAGAATAGGTACTTCACCTAAGTAACATAATTAACATTTCGCAATGTATTTTTTTACTTTCTATTGACATCCCTTAATAACCACGGAAAGTCCGCAGTGACTTAGGAAGCGGAGAAGATGAAAAGTAATATGGACACCAACGCGCAGCGATAAAGTTTTATTTGGCTTGCGCGCGCGATTTATCTGATTAATAATAATTATGTAGGCTATTAAACATCGGCAAGCAGTCGACATCAAAGGAGTGCAACTTCTGTACGTAGTACTATCATTTATTTTGTGGTAGTAAATAATATTTTGAACCAAAGTAAGGCAGGATCTGTATTTGAAAGATGGTCACACTGCTTGAATAGCTACCTATTCTCCATTCGCTCCAACTCGCTCGTTCTCACAGAGTACTTTTTATATACCTGAATCTCGTTCTTCTCGACTCGTTCGTTCGGTCGTTCGTTTTCGAGGTTTCAATTTGGAGTTATT